TACATATGACGATCAATAACGTCGGGTCAATGATAATATCTCCTGCTTACCATCACTTGTGTACCATTACCAGTTTCACCTGGTAAACTGTGTTGATAATGTTTATATAGACGAACTGTCTGATAACGATTTCGTTATTTACAGTTTGGACAGTGTGCAGCAGAACGACTTAGCATCGGCAACCTTCGGCAGTTGACGTAAACGAGAAAATAACGAAAAGTGGTAAAGGTTCCCGATTGGATGACGAATTTGTATGATGTTTCTTAGATGACTCATTACAAGGACGGATTCTCAAATTGACAAGCCACATAAATTTTACCCTATGATTTTCCCATCATGGATGTGAATTATCGATACTTCTACCGGTTTGCGAAAAATCACAATTAAACCTGTTTGAGCATAAGATAACATCTCGCGCGTCATCCACTCATTTTCGACCTAAAGGATGTCATAATCAAAATGAAATCATCTCACAGTTGTCTTTCTGACAGATATATATAACATTAAGACAGATAAACAAACAAATAAACAAAAAATACAGTACAATCCCATCGAATTGAAGGATTTGAGAAAAAAAAAAGGTAGCTGACATATAGTTGACATGTGGACGTAACATTCAGGTGCACATACCGAGAAAGAAAATCTATTTGCTCTTATCAGGGACGTTCATAGAGATATACACATATTTAAAAATCTACAATTATTTAAACAGATTTTTTTTCTAACGTGACCAAAGTGTCAGAATTTTGTAGCCTTAGGCTATCATACAACAGGAAAAGTTTGGTCGACAGTCGAAATGTTGCAGCAACCAAAGAGTGCTATCGATAAACATGATAGTTAAAAGTGATAACTTGCAATATATATCGATACAACAATCGATTCTCATGTCAAATATTTATATGAGGAAGGAGCAGATGGCGGATCAATGGAATAGGTTTGATTAAAGCTATACACATATAATTATATATATTTGTCTTAAACAAACAAACAAAACGACCGAGGTCAAATCCACGTTATGTAGGATATCCTCTTGCGTCATGTCATCATTTGCATACGTGATCTTTTGTTACTGTCTAAATATGGCTTCACAGGGCTTGCAGTAAGTGTAAAATAAATGTACGTACAATCCCAATATGCACCTTTTAATATGTATATACGACGTCACACAATGTCGACCCTTCTCTATTCACAGGAAGCATGACGTGCAAGTATGCTGTGTGCGTGACCTCCTCCGTGAGCGTATGACATCAGTCGCTGTGTTGCCTTCCTCAGTGTCATGACATCAGTCAATGTGTTTGCCTCCTCCGTGAGCGTATGGCATCAGTTAATACGTTGCCTCCCTCTGTGTCATCATGACATCAGTCAATGTGCTGCCCTTCTCCGTGTAAGTATGACATCAGTCGCTGTGTTGCCTTCATCAGTGTCATAATTACATCAGTCAATGTGTTGCCTCTCTACGTGTTGGTATGACATCAGTCGCTGTGTTGCCTTCCTCCGTGTCATTATGACATCAGTCAATGTGTTGCCCTCCTCTGTTTCATCATGACATCAGTCAATGTGTTGCCTCCCTCTGTGTCATCATGGCATCAGTCAATGTGTTGCTCTTCTACGTGTTATTATGACATCAGTCGCGTCACTGTGTTGCCACCCTCAGTGTCGAAATGACATCAGTCAACGTGTTGCCCTCCTCTGTTTCATAATTACATCAGTCAATGTGCTGCCCTCATCTGTTTCATCATGACATCAGTCAACGTGTTGCCTCCCTCTGTGTCATCATGGCATCAGTTAATGTGTTGCCTCCCTCTGTGTCATCATGACATCAGTCAACGTGTTGCCTCCCTCTGTGTCATAACTACATCAGTCAATGTGTTGCCTCCCTCTGTGTCATCATGACATCAGTTAATGTGTTGCCTCCCTCTGTGTCATCATGACATCAGTTAATGTGTTGCCTCTCTCAGAGTCATCATTACATCATTCTATGTGTTGCCATGCTTCATGTCAGTATGGCATTAATGAGTGTAAAATAGATAACATAAATGCACAGCGATTAAAACTTGCCATATTAATCGAACCACGGATAATTGACAATGCCTTATATCTGTGGTATGTGTAGATCTGTATTACGTGCCTTCTTTATCCCCGGTAACATCCCTGCAATGACCACTCGTACAGAAATACATACCTAACAATCTAACTATCCATTAGCAATGCCCTGTCCCTATTTGCTTGTATGCGGCACTTGTTCCCCTACTTCTTTCTACACTGACAATTAGATCCCTGTAAATGCCACAGATATTAGATCAGGTGATCGATGCCGTAAATAATCCGTCTGGGGGTGGTAGAACCGTTTACTAGGTAATCAGCATGTTTCCATTTGACAGAAAATGCCAAAATAGGGCTTCACTGTTAATGTTTGGAGTAAGACTTTTAAAACACTGATTTCAGGACTGCAATGTTCCACGAGACAGGCGCAAAAAAATCGACTTTCCTTTTTCAAGATTTTTTCTTTCGAAAGCGAGATACAATAAATTACATAACATTGCATAAATAGACATTCAAACATGTCAATGGAGGGCACGTAGTATGTAAAACACTGTAACAACTAGGAGGGACATACTGTTGTGTTGTATCACGGGAATCACAGGGAGGGACATACTGATGTGTTGTATCACGGGAATCACAGGGAGGGACATACTGTTGTGTTGTATCACGAGGAGGGACATAATGTCGTGTTGTATCACGGGAATCACAGGGAGGGACATACTGTTGTGTTGTATCACAGGGAGGGACATACTGTTGTGTTGTATCACGGAAATCATAGGGAGGGACATACTGTTGTGTTGTATAACGGGAGTCATAGGGAGGGACATACTGTTGTGTTGTATTACGGGGAGGGACATAATGTTGTGTTGTATTACGGTATGACAGGGAGGGACATAATGGTGTTGTATACAGGAATCATAGGGAGGGACATACTGTTGTGTTGTATAACGGGAGTCATAGGGAGGGACATACTGTTGTGTTGTATTACGGGGAGGGACATAATGTTGTGTTGTATTACGGGGAGGGACATACTGCTGTGTTGTAACACGGGGAGGGACATACTGTTGTGTTGTATCACAGGGAGGGACATACTGTTGTGTTGTATCACAGGGAGGGACATACTGTTGTGTTGTATAACAGGAATCATAGGGAGAGACATACTGTTGTGTTGTATCACGGGGACCACAGGGAGGAACATACTGTTGTGTTGTATCACAGCACCACAGGGAGGGACATACTGTTGTGTTGTATCACAGGAATCACAGGGAGGGACATACTGTTGTGTTGTATCACAGGGAGTGACATACTGTTGTGTTGTATCACAGGACCACAGGGAAGGACATACTGTTGTGTTGTATCACAGGGAGGGACATACTGTTGTGTTGTATCACGGGAATCATAGGGAGGGACATACTGTTGTGTTGTATCACAGGGAGGGACACACTGTTGTGTTGTTTCACGGGGATCACAGGGAAGGGACACTATAATGTTTTATCACATTGAGGGGCATAATGTTGTATCAAATTGACCACAGGGGGGGATACTGTTGTGTTGTATGACAGGGAGGGACACACTGTTGTGTTGTATGACAGGGAGGGACATACTGTTGTGTTGTATGACAGGGAGGGACATACTGTTGTGTTGTATGACAGGGAGGGACATACTGTTGTGTTGTATCACTGGGAGGGACATAATGTCGTGTTGTATTACAGGAATCATAGGGAGGGACATGGTGTTGTGTTGTATCACGGGAGTCATAGGGAGGGACATAATGTTGTGTTGTATTACGGGGAGGGACATACTGCTGTGTTGTATCACGGGGAGGGACATACTGTTGTGTTGTATGACAGGGAGGGACATACTGTTGTGTTGTATCACAGGGAAGGACATACTGTTGTGTTGTATCACAGGGAGGGACATACTGTTGTGTTGTATCACGGGGAGGGACATAATGTCGTATTGTATTACAGGAATCATAGGGAGGGACATAGTGTTGTGTTGTATCACGGGTATCATAGGGAGGGTTAAGGTTTGTTAAGGACATTATGAGGGACTATTAGATATGTTTAATCTAGGATCGGCATTTCACGTGAACACTTACAAAGTACACCTATTTCGTTGGCCATTTTTGCTGACCTTTACGAGGAATCCGGACATTCTTTGACAGCTAATTTAAACAGACATTTACTTTTCTTTTGTTGTAGGTGACATTTAGCTTTAAACAATTTTCCGACTTCAGTTTTAGGAGAGATATTTCAGTTAGACTAAAAGCCAGAGATTTCCATGTCGTGGCTCTAATACACTCAAACACGTCATTTAGACAAATGACTTCATCAGATATCGCGGCTGATGTTGTGTTGTACTAAAGTAACAAGAACCCAAGGTTAACCGACGTCTAAGACCAACAAACACTGTAAGTTGATAGACGATCGGCTTTACAGATGCAATATATACTTCTGGAGAATCCCATGATCCCTATATACCGTACAAAATTATTTCTAAAAGTGTAAATGCGACATAGAATATTTGTTATTGTCTGACAGAACATCCTCCGCATTTGCAAATACGTACGTTTACTCTAGTATTGTCATTGAAACGCGAGTAGAGCATTGACTATTGTCCTGTTCGATCTATAATGGGACCTTGCTTTTGTCTGAAGAGTTGGAGGCCTCTGGAAACAATCAAAATTCTAATTTTAGACGTAATCTACGAAATAATCTCGACACGAGTCATTAACGAGATTTAAGAAACCGACGAATATGACTCATGTCGTATACCGTGGTTTTTACAAAGGATAGGCCGACGAAATGTTTACGAACATTAACGGCCAATGATAGTGATATAAAATTAATGCTTGAAATAATTCAAGCTTTTATTGATAGTAAGTATCCACTATGCTAGTTTCATACAAAGCACTTCACACAAGCCAATGAAAGCCCCCCTTACATAATACTTACTATCCCATAAATACAAACGGTGCAATTCCCGCTTTGTTCGTTCGTCTCGGACACGATTCGTATCCCGTGTGTCATATTTTCTGAAACTAAAAGCATGATGGCCCCTTCCTTCGATTCTGAGAGGGGGTAGTTCGCCTCCACTTCCGGTCCTGTTTCGATTGTCTGCCTGCTGTTGGGCTGCCCTTCTCTTCTTTTCAGAATCAAATAAGTCGAAAAAGAAATCCATTATTTACAAAGTATTGGTTGAAGATAATACACACTCTCTTTGTATACGGTTCACCAACTTCTACGTTACACTATGGGTCACACACGGGGCACATATTTCCAGAATTAATTCACTACCAACACAAAACAAGATGCTAGCCTTAGCCGATAACAGCTTGAGAAGTAAGGGCTTGCTTTTCCTTCGGGTCCTGTAATATGATCCTCCCCTTACAGACGCCGTCCGTTGGGATAACCTCGTTCTTTACCGTAACACGTGTGTGTAGTAATATTTTAGTTTTCCCTTGACGGGACATCCAATATAAAGTTGCGTGATAGGCCAAGTCCTATGTATTACGGTGTAAATTTGATGGTGGCGAATCCCTGACTAACTAACAGTAGGACTTTCTCCACCATTGGGCCGTACTTGGGAAACCAGGTGTGACTAAACTGGAACCTGACACTCTTGATTGATGTCCCATTCACACTGTCACACGCTTGTAATATATAGATACACAGGTATATCCGTCTGCTAGCAATAATTGTTTTTGCATTCTATTGAGCGACAAAATGCCAAAATAACCTAGTCTCGTTTCCGATCTACCAATTATTTGATTCATATATAATGCCTGTTCATTTGAGATAAAAAAAGAATAAGACACGGTTCGTATTATCGGTGCACTATAAAAGCTAGACATGCGTATTTCGGCGGGATCCAGTTACGGACCCACTGAACCCAAACAATGGCCTTTAGGTTGTGTTTACTATTTATAGCGAATAAAGGGACAAAAATAGGTATGAAAGGAGCCATTTCCCGGTTTAACTTAAGTGGCGTGTGATATTGCGTGTGAAACCGCTCGGAACAGAGAGTCGTTGAAATTGCTTTTTAAAAATTATTTTTGATAAAAGTGCAAAGCATATTAATACAACACTTCCACCGTTACATGTACATATGTAAGTTAATTAATGGCACTGTCAGTCATCATATTGGCATATATATACCACGTAATGACGGAATTCATATTACATAATCTGGTAGAGAGTATCTGGCGTGCAGCCATTTATCACATGTGCAAGTATGGAAACTTAACACATCAAATAAATAAACGTCCTGTGCTTGGTTGTCTCATTCACTGAAGTTATTAAATGGTTTTGTGGATGTAGGAGTTCTCCGTCTTGTATGCGATGTGTTGATAATCGTTATATAGAAACCAAAAACCGTCGTTAATGGAAATGGCCAAACATTGTTTATAAACGATTACATGAGAGTGTGCCATAAGTTTAATTTAAACACATACATATAGACCAAACTCGAGGAACTGACTATTAATCTAGAGACTATACATGGCACATACCGAAAGTAATCTAACGACCAGCACGCGTAGACTGTGAAATGGAAACTATTCCAGGATAATTTCGCCACCCGCATCATGTAACACGGAAACTATTCCAACGTAATTATGCCACCCGCATCATGTAACACGGAAACTATTGGAAGTAATTTTGCAACCAACATCATGTAACATGGAAACTATTCCAAGGTAATTATGCCACCCGCATCATGTAACACGGAAACTATTGGAAGTAATTTTGCAGCCAACATCATGTAACATGGAAACTATTCCAAGGTAATTATGCCACCCGCATCATGTAACACGGAAACTATTGGAAGTAATTTTGCAACCAACATCATGTAACATGGAAACTATTCCAAGGTATTTTGGCAACCCACATTACGTGACCGCAACCAATGCATGGGAACCTGGCGACCATTTTACTATGAAAACTGAGGTGGTAACCACTGTTTTACTGCCTTTTTAAGATAAAAAAAGTGTTGCTAGGTAACCGATTTGTCAAAACCGATATATATGAAAATTATTGATGGTAAAACAGCGCTTACGGTGTATTCGATAGGACAACTTTGCCGAGATAAGCATTACCATAGAAGTATACATGTCTTGAAATCGATTTATGCTAGATATCCTGTCTGGCCTGCTGCTGTTTCCCTATCCCGTGTTACAAATAGAAATTTAATAGGATTTTATATAATTGAACAAAAGTTGTAGCTGATAACCCAAAACCACACAATATAGGCACGCCCTTCATGTAATTTTTATTGCCAGGAGTTCCATTTGCGTGTTAGCCAATCCTACCTCCATAAACACATACCTATGGACATGTAAACACAAACCTCAGTGTTGAAGGGAGGAAGGCAGCATGGCGTTGTGTGCTTACTTACCTTACAAGTTTACAAGGAATTAATGTAATTATTCAGTATGGGACTTTGTTGAAATTATTAACAGTATTGATGTAATTGACGAAACACACATGAAAATGGGGTAATTTGTACACTTCCTAATTTTCTGTCTGATAAATAATTCATTTGAGAAGAGGAAATCACGCAATTACAGATACACTGGCCATAATTAGATTTTAACCTTATTACACAGATTGGTGTCCTGATGATGTCATGTTACTTGTTGCCAACGGACACTTATCTTCGCCAAACGAGATTCGAAGCTCAGCAGGGACAGATTTTTTTATATCTTTCAAATATCTTTATTCTGACAATAAACGGATTGAAGTAAAACATTTTTTGATAGATAGTAAAAGAAAGAAAGAAAAAAAAATTTAAAAAATTAAATCTCATTTTTATTTTCGTACCAAGTGTTGAATCCTCATACATCAACAACAACTCGACCACCATCACGTTTACAGGCTTCCACCAGCTTCTACTCTCTGCTTAGGCTGAGATCAGATTGTGCAGCACGTTCCCTAAAGACACGTGACGGATTGGAAATCCATGCCTAATACTCCAATCCGATTCCGTGGACATATTTCCGGATTGTCTCGAGGACGCTTGAGAGATTGGGTGGTGGCTGACCCAGGCTTTAGGATAAAACTTCCATTAGAGTGGAATCTAATTCCAGCTAGTATTCATTTACCTCAAATTAGCTTCATCATTCTTATAGAGGTACTCCAAACAGTGGGAGATCGGACGCATCTCAAAAACGGATTTTGGTCCAAAAATAAAGAGACTCGTGACAAAGTGTTCCAAAATCGATCTTAAATGATCTTCTTTATCCACTGGTAGTAATTTTTTATGCAGACGCTGTACAGGTCAACTAATGTTTAACAATGTATGGATGGTTGGGTAGCGCAGTTATAACGCTTTCGCTTTTCACCTAGCCGTTCGGGGTTCGATTTCCAGGAACGGACGTTAAAAGGTGGCGGAGGCACCTAACCAACCACGTGGGGTTTCCTCAGATACTTCAGTTTCAACCCACAATAAAACCTCCCGCGTGCTTATATCTCATCATCTAACATTGTATTTTTTTAATCGATTTTTACTTTCTTTTTCCCGCCATAAGGCTGGATAAATTGACACGTAGGAATTATCTTAGCTATTCTCATATACAGCTAGAAAGTTTTGAAGGTTTAATTTGTACATGAAATTTCCATCGTGCAGACGGCGCGGTATTGTTAGGTGTTAAAGAAACCAAGTAGAATAATCCTGACTTTTAATGTTTTGTATTTAAAGATAAACTACAGGTTGGACTAATCTGAAATCCTTATAGGTCCATTATTGTAAATAAACGACTCACATGAAGGCCGTGTGTTGCGTACAGTGTACTTCCGGACAAGAACTTCACTGTGGTCTTCCGTATGTTAAGATCAACATGACCTGTGAGATGAAGACATCCTGTTGGGAAGTTAAGGACAAGAATTACTTGTATGATGAAGACATCCAGTTGTGGAGTTAGGGACCAGAATGACTTGTGTAATGAAGACATCCCAGTTGTGGAGTTAGGGACAAGAATGACTTGTGTGATGAAGACTCCCAGTTGTTGAGTAAGGGACAAGGATAGCGTCTGGGATGAAGACATCCTATTGTGGAGTTTGGAACCAGAATGACTTGTGTGATGAAGACATCCTGTTGGGGAGTTAAGGATCAGAATGACTTGTATGATGAAAACATCCTGTTGTGGAGTTAGGGACCAGAATGACATGTGTGATGAAGACATCCTGTTGTGGAGTTAAGGATCAGAATGACTTGTGTGATGAAGACTCCCAGTTGTGGAGTCAAGGACAGGAATAACATGTGTGATGAAGACTCCCAGTTGTGGAGTTAGGGTCCAGAATGACTTGTGTGATGAAGACTCCCAGTTGTGGAGTTAGGGACCAGAATGACTTGTATGATGAAGACATCCTGTTGTGGAGCTAGGGACCAGAATGACTTGTATGATGAAGACATCCAGTTGTGGAGTCTAGGACAGGAATGACCTGTGTGATGAAGACTCCCAGTTGTGGAGTTAGGGACCAGAATGACTTGTATGATGAAGACATCCTGTTGTGGAGCTAGGGACCAGAATGACTTGTATGATGAAGACATCCAGTTGTGGAGTCTAGGACAGGAATGACCTGTGTGATGAAGACTCCCAGTTGTGGAGTTAGGGACCAGAATGACTTGTTTGATGAAGAAATCCTGTTTTGGAGTTAGGGACAAGAATGACTTGTATGATGAAGACATCCAGTTGTGGAGTGAGGGTCCAGAATGGCTTGTGTGATGAAGACATCCAGTGGTGGAGTTAGGGACCAGAATACTTGTATGATGAAAACATCGAGTTGTGGAGTTAGGGACCAGAATGGCTTGTGTGATGAAGACTCCCAGTTGTGGAGTTAGGGACCAGAATGGCTTGTGTGATGAAGACATCCTGTTGTGGAGTTAGGGACCAGAATGACTTGTATGATGAAGACATCCTGTTGGGGAGTCTAGGACAGGAATGACTTGTGTGATGAAGACATCCAATTATGGAGTTAGGGACCAGAATGACTTGTGTGATGAAGACATCCTGTTGGGGAGTCTAGGACAGGAATGACTTGTGTGATGAAGATATCCCAGTTGTGGAGTTAGGGACCAGAATGACCTGTGTGATGAAGACATCCTGTTGTGGAGTTAAGGATCAGAATGACTTGTGTGATGAAGACACCCAGTTGTGGAGTCAAGGAAAGGAATAACATGTGTGATGAAGACTCCCAGTTGTGGAGTTAGGGTCCAGAATGACTTGTGTGATGAAGACTCCCAGTTGTGGAGTTAGGGACCAGAATGACTTGTATGATGAAGACATCCTGTTGTGGAGCTAGGGACCAGAATGACTTGTTTGATGAAGAAATCCTGTTTTGGAGTTAGGGACAAGAATGACTTGTATGATGAAGACATCCAGTTGTGGAGTGAGGGTCCAGAATGGCTTGTGTGATGAAGACATCCAGTGGTGGAGTTAGGGACCAGAATGACTTGTGTGATAAAGAAATCCTGTTTTGGAGTTAGGGACCAGAATGACTTGTA